ATCACTACTTCCTCTCTTTTGTGCACTTGGGCATCTGATTGCCACATTTTTTACACCTGGGTATAAAGTAAGGCTCAGCACATTCTGGGAGGGCCTCTTGAGTGCAAGTCTCCACACAATCTCTGCACGGCCTTGACAGCTACCATTGAGGGATCCTGTGTCTGTGTCTATATCCTTGTTACCACGAAGGACTGGGACACCTGGTGGGTGACTGTCCTGTCTCCTTGTAGATGAGACTGTCGTGCCTCCAGATGTTCCAAGCTACCTCTCCTCTCAGGGGACGCTCTCTGACCGACAGGAAACTGTGCTCAGGACTGAGGGTGGCCATCAGGCCAATGGACACATTGAGAGCAATGGTAAGGCCTCCAAGTTTGATATGACTGTTCCCATGAGCAGGAGGTGGCCTCCAGCCCTCTCCCAGGGCAGGCACATGGCATTACATCCAGTGTATTTGACTTGGAAGGCTGGTAACGGAAGCCTGTTGGGTTTTTGGACCTCCCTATGCAAGTTCTACAAAGTTTTAAAACCTCATCCCCTAGGAAATCACTATATTGGGCTTAGCATCTTTTACTAAGCGTTTCAATTCCTCTCATACTCAAAACTCTCACAAGGCTCAGTGACTTCAGTGGGGGAGACAGAGCACATGCTCAGGGCAAGTTGATCCTTACAGGAACTTGTTCCCAGGGCTGAGTGCTGAAAGGTCTGCCCACCAGGAAGGCAGTCTTAGAAAAGGGGCCTGTGAACCATCACGCTAGAGAACACTTTAGAAATGGCTGTCCTAGCAGTGTTGTCCATTCTTTCCATTAGGCTTTCTGCGACGTGCTAGGCCCAGCATATCCAACAGTGTGGGGCTCTATTGCAGGTATTTGTCCAAGAGATGCAGGTCTCTATCCAGAGGCAGATGCTCATGTGGTTACCTGCAGGCAGCCCAAGCTCTGTGTTGGGTATAATAAGGAGCCGTGGAAAGTGATGGAGAAAGCCGATGGCACACCTGGTCAACAGAAGATGGGTATGTCAGGAGGTATTTTGTTCTTGAAATCCAAATCTGGGCTGACCTCGATAACAGAGTGCAGGGGGACACATTATTGTCTAAGATTATCTCAGAAGTTGGTATTCAGTGGAAGTTCTGTGGGGCCTGGCTCTCTCTGAGTTCGAGCAGGGTGTCTCTAAAATAAACTGATGGTGTGGTGAGTCTGGACGTGGACTTTCCAAATTTATAAGCAACCGAAATAAAGGCAAAGCCCAAACAAAAGGACCTTTTCACCAGGGCTCTGGAGATTATGTTTCTAATTGTTCAGAAGATTCCTGGCTTCTGAACTATGTGGTCTCTTCAAATGGGATTCCTTTCTGTGACCAAAGTTGTCTGATAAAAAATTTAATCTGAAATGTTTAAATATGGAAGACCCATTCTTAATGGCACGATATTTGCCCAGTAGTTTTTATATGAAAATACTGGGAGCATGGGGGGTTGTAGAGTTGATGAGTGGGGCTCTGGCCTCACAGAGGTGGAGTGCAGCAGCCTCTGTGTGGGGGTGGAGGCCTCAGTTGATGGTTCTCGTTGTCTCCGGCTGTGTGTTGCAGAGCACAGTGACCCAGTTGTATGCAGTGACTGCAACACTGATATGGACAGTCACTCCAAGGAACAAGCCTTCTGTCCTCGGCCTGTGTCCAGAGACAGTACACAACCAGGTACACCAAGCAGCCAGGAGCCCAGTCACAGTGACCAAGAACATTCTCCACATCTGCCCAGTGGGACTCTGGACAGGCCCCACACTGACTACAGGGAGTCCCTCTACCCCAGTAACCACGACAGAATGCTGATGTCCTTGAAGAAAAAGTCTGGGGCACCCCCAGATGGCAAAGGTAAATGTTTACTTTCATCCCAGGAGTCACCAGCATCTGGGGTGGGCATGGAAACAGCCAAGCTAGAGGGTCTGACGTGCCCTCTCCTTTCTCGTTAGGGGCCTCTTCGTGGACGTTAGCAAGGTTGTGTGAGCCAGACTCCATAGACCTCCAGCCTTCCTCTACATTAACTCCTGGCAGTTCTGAGCTCACACGAGCCCCTTCGGGCTTTCCCGACATCCCCAGCGAAGGCCAGCACTTGCTTCTTTCCAACGGACAACTCCCCAGAGCATGTGACTCTGGTACTGAGTCCACATCACTGACAGGACAGCTCCCTGGGAAACGGAGTGGGCCGCTGCTGTTTGCACCACAGATCTAGGCGTTGTCTACCTCAGCTCTTGTGGCAATCTCTATGGGAAAGAGAGGTAGGAGAGGCTGTGAGGAAGCTTGGGTTCAAGCGTCACTGATCTGTACAGTTTTAACTTCCATGTGGAGTGTCAGTAGTTTAAAGGACTTGCAGCTGAAATCACAGAATGCAGGAGGCTATTGTGTACAAAAGGCAAAAAAGTATTTGATACCATTGTACATAAGAGTTTTCAGAGATTTCATATATATTATATATCTTTTACAGAGGATATTTTAATCTTTAGTGCATGGTTAACAGAAAAAAAAATTGTACAATTTTAACAATATTATTTTTCATACCAGGTTGCTGTTTAATTTTGGAAGGAGCGGGGATAGTTCTGGTGCCTTAATGTATGGATAGAATTTATAGAAGCTAAAAACCACATTTGCTCTGAGGAGTTTTAGTGGGTGGGAAGGATGGAAAGTCCTACCTGAGTTGCACATCATAGGACAGGCCCCTAGGATGCTTTATAGGCAGAAACTTGGTTTGCATTGGAAGTAACTTCATGTCAGTGTTGCTCATGTAACTTCTGTGGTGCCTCCTGCCGCAGACCCCCCTGTGGAGCCCAGACCCACGGGGTTCATGGACCTCTGCAGTGAGTGACTTTCTCGTAGTTTTGAGTTCTTTAACAAACATGAAGGGGGGGGGGGTTCCTTAATCCACCACCAGCATTTGGTCCAAACCATTAAGCCTTTCTTCTATGATAAAAGCAAATGTGGTCTTGTCAGTATCATTTGAGGCTTTCTAATGAGAAAGAAGTTGCTGCTGTTGATACCTGTGGATTTTTCAGTGATGTTTTAGACTGCCAATATGACTAATATTATATTGATCTTAGGGGAGAAAAAGGATCAAGTCCTTCCTTTCCAGGGCTAGCTTATCTTGACTGAGGATTGGGAGCAGGCCTGTCCACACCTTCCCTTGCGCAGGGACCCAGGCTTGGACTTGCAAGCTTTAGCCCTTGACCTGGGTTCTGGGTATATTTGCACTTTTGAGACCGGTAGCTAAACATCTTGTGAGTGCCAATGTATAGTTCAGGAAAAAGTACATTGAAACTAACAAGGTCCTTAAAAGCTCAGAAAGCAAGGTCCTTGAGCCAAAAAGCTGAAGGTATACTGACAAAATGGTTACTTTGTTAAATTTTACTGTCAAATGTCATCACTGTTCCAAAAGGTAAGCACATTTAGAATTTTGTTAACAGTGAACTGATTAATATTACTTCCACAACATATGTGAATTTGCTGCTTCTGAGAGGCAATGTGAAAGAGGAAGTATTACTTTCATGTACAAAGTTATTTATTTATAGAAATTTTGGTACAATGTACATTGAAAAACATGTAAAATATTGAAGTGTCTAACAAATGGCATTGAAGTGTCTTTAATAAAGTTTCATTTATAAATGTTAAGTGTGTTGTAGTAGACTATTCTGCATGGTGTGGGCCCAGCTCCCACTTGGAGATGCACAGGACCCACGCCCACGGATAGGTTTTCCCGTGGGGAATCAGGCCTGCAATGTACCTAGGCCACTATGAGTCTTGCTTTTAGCTAAAACTCCCTCACCCTGAATTAAGGACATTTACTGCAAAGCAACTTCCTAAAATTCATGCTAAACCTTCCAGGGCTGAGTGTAACCTGTCCAACTACTTTTGCCTTTTCATTTGCAAATATCCCTCTTCTGTGATGTGATTAGCAGCATTGGCTCCTTTGTTTTCTGTAAAAGGTAACCACCTAAAGGGAGCCTGTGCATAGTAGATGAGGACCTTCCTGTAATGTGCCCAGGGAGACAATAAAAGCTCATTGGAGCAAGGGCTGGGGCTTTTGCTTCCCTTGAGAGAAAAGCCATGCTGCCTCTTTCCTCCCCCACATTCGGTAATCCCTGTGAATGTCTCATTTTCATCCATAATGATGTGGACCCCATAAGCCGGGGTCCGCATCAGTGTGTAGCTTGGGTCATTCTTCTGTGTACATTAACCAGCATCACTTCACCCCATTTAATTCCAGAGATGCCCTGATAAATGCAGTCATTCTGCCTTTAATTATCATCTGCCCTCCTGCCCTGCCCCCCGCCCCCCCCAAAAAAACTTAGGCAGAACAGAATGGTGTACTGTGGCACTAGGGAAGACATAGCAGCATTAGATTTCTGAGATTCTGAATTTTTCCAACACCTGGAGCTTATTAGTCAAACTCTAGAATGGTTACCTTCCCATTTCATCCCTTCCATTTCCAGTGTTGAGCTTAAAACTTCAGGAAAAGTTTACTGATTAGGAACCAAGAAATAACACTGTCTGCAAAGCTGGCCTGGCCCATCCTTTGGTCTGAAATGGAAAAGAGTGGAGTGCAGCCCAGCTACCACCAAGGCCCCCAGACGCCTTCTGCCCCCAAGCCCAGGAGGCCTGCCTGGTCATGGACCTGCAACTGTTTGCTTTCTTTCACACACCACATGGGCCGCTGGACACTTCTCTGTCAAATACAATTGTGTACTTTTACAGGTTAAATTTGAGGGCCCAGCCTGGTTACCTAGCAAGAATGCTCACATGCACCTGTAGTTCATTCTTTCCAACAAAGCTGTAAGCTTACACAGTAGTGATTAATCCAGGAGAGAAACGCACTCTCATGTACCACTGTTTCCCTGGCTCTTCCCTTCCCCAGTCTAGCCATTCTTTTAAAATTATAGCCATCTCTGTCGAATCTGCTATCATGGGGCAGGAAACAAAAGGTCAGATACAACCAAATGAAAGCTCTCAGAGGCCAGGACTCAGCATCACCAAACTTATTTATTAAGTGGTTCTGAGAAAATTATTCAGAGTACCTCTATGGACATTGTTTTCTCTCTTTCTGGCAAATAGGCTGATGACCTCATTCCAGCCAGCCTATAGCACAGAAAACAAGTTCTCCATGTCGTATTCTGCAGAGCTGGATTTCAGCACTGTGTTCTGTGGTTTAGATGGCTGAACAGCTGCTCGCTGGACTGGATCAGCTCTCACAGCATGGCCCCTTCATGAAAGAAGGGGATGGAGGGCCGTGGGATTCATGGGCTCTCTTTGCCAAGTTTCAACAGCAAGCTGCGAGTTTGGTCATAAGCACCAAGAAAGATGAAACCTCCCAGACTGATGGCTGCCATTCGAGGGAAGACACCTGCAAATAATCTAGGGGCAACAAAACAAAGATTTTTAAAAATATTTTGTGTGTAAAAAAGGTTAAATTCCAACACCCACAGCTTGCTCAACTCAACACTCCATGCTCATTAAACCCCACACAGTACTTAAATGTGTGTTTTTTCCTTTTATAATGGCACTAAATTACATTCCCAAGTAGACTTGCTAAAATCTGAGCCCAGCTGTTGGCTGGCGAAAGTGGCTACATACCAGACAGCTTACTTGTGAGCACTCACAATTAAGTCAAATAATTAGTCAAGAAATAGTAACTCTGTCTGCACAATAGTCCTGTTTAAAACTTTCAAACTCTTTCTGTCTTTTAGAGATGATGGAATCGGCAAGGGGTCAAGGGGCACAGCCCACCCTGGAAGCCCGCAGTGGTCTAACGCAGAGGGTGTTAGAGATTTTTGGACAACTCTGCTATTCCTCCCATTGACTCAGGCACATTTTGTCCTTGGAGACCCACAAATGAGATGCCACAGTGGGAGGCAAATCTCCATGGATTCTGTTTTCTTTCTCCTCTGATGAAGGAGAAGAAAGGCGAACAGGGCTATGGCAGGGAAAGTAGTAGTAGCTTTGTGCCCAAGCACCTCAGAAGATGACTTACTGTCAAAGTTGCAACTTGGAATAATTGAGGAAATGCAAAGTAAAAGAACAATGTAACTATGGATGTATATTGGAGATTTCACTCATTTAAAAAAAAATCCTCACCTGAGGATATATTTATTGATTTTAGAGGAGGAGGGGATAGAGAAACATCAATCAGTTGCCATCTACATGTGCCCAGACTGGGGATCTAACCCAAAACATTTTGGTGTATGGGGTGACACTCCAGCCAACTAAGTCACCCGGCCAGGGCAGAATTCATTCTTTAAAAACCCTCCCATAGCTATGCGCAGGTACCTGCTCAAAGATGTTCATCATGACATTGCTAATTTAAAAAGAAAAAAACTGCAAATAACCCCATCTGGTTACACAAATTCTGGTGTAGTGTCTACACACAGGGGAAACTGAAGTTGCAAAGAATGGGGCAGGCAGGAGATACCAACATAGAAAGTATGCACAATGGATTCTGAAAAAGTCAAGTCCCAAAGCTGCTTGTGTAACATGAATGTATGTGTAACACATATGGTAGGCATGTGTCCTAAACTGCACGGGGGCATGGCATTACAGAAAAGACCTTGTATTTCTGTAATAACAACTTTATTTTTTAACCAAGAGTATTAGTTTTGTAAGCACAAAAACAAAATTACAAAGAAGTAGTGAGTCTACTAGTGAAAACATCAGGTCTACAGAAGAAAACTGAAAATGGTCAGGTTATGCCAATAGTAGTTTGTGTATCTTTTCAGATAAGAGAAAAGCCTCCACAATAAGTAAACGGTGGCTTGCTAAGAAATGCCAGGAAGAAAGCCCTGCTGTCCAAGTTGAGGCAGCTCTGGCCACCTCCTTTGTGCACCATGTAAGACGAGGTCAGCTTGCCCCTTAGTGTGCAGCGCTTAGCACTTTTGAGGAAAGCAGATTGGAGGGTAGTGTTAGGGCATCCTGATTTTAATTAGCTAAGTAAGGATTTAAATCATTAGGTAAAATACTACAGATAAAATTATAACCTCTTTTTCTTGTCTAGAAATAACCATGAATATTTTATGGAAGACCAAAATACACTTGTAAGAAAAAAAGTTGTTCATCTCAGTATCATGCAAATTGTTTTTGCCTGAGGTGGTTGGTGAGGACAAAAAAACTCATAAATTACCACTCTGAGGCCACTCTGTCCTTATGGCTTGAAAAACAGATTAATCACCTTGCCATATCCCACAAAGGGAAGGGTGTGGGAAGGAGGCCAGCAGAGGCTGAGTTGGGAGACCACGCTGGCCACAAAGCCACCCTCCCTGCTCCTTTCTATCTGACTTCTCTTTAAAGCCAGGGTCTTGGTTCAGCTTTTGCATCTAATGAGCTCAGCTGCTCCTGGCAAGAGGCAGAAGGAAGCAGTTTATGGTTTCAATAGATGACAGTCAAATTGTTTAATATAACGCATAGCCTTAAAGTAGGCATTTGTACAGCAAGGCAGACAAGTAGAGCAGGGCTGTTCTGAGTGAGCACAGATCAAACAAGACGGCAGATGTAGAGCGTTTAGCGGAGGGCACACATGGCAGTGGCAGTTCTCACGTACAGGGCACAGTCGAGAAAAACACAAAAGCAGGAAGGAGCGCTGCAGGGCAAGCAGTTTCCTGCCGGTTTTCTGAATGCTGGACCAATGAGCACACCACAGTTTTATTTTGGAGAAACCAAAGGTGTGCCAAAACATGAAGCAAACCAACACGACACCAAAGTGTCACCCCTTTCATTCTCCGAGAGATTAGCGCCATTCCACTCTGACATGGACCCTGAACCTGCTGGGCACCCAAGGAGCTGGTGATGCTGGCAGGTGCATTCAGGGTGGTGGTAGGAGTCCGCAGTGTGTGGAAGCAGGACTGATGGAGCCACTGAGACGCCTGCAGGGCTGAGCATGTGTAGGACCCGTCATCAGAACAGTGTGCACAATTGTTGGAGTTTTTTGTTTGTTTTCCCTGCTTTTGGTTATAATTCTTTTGTCAAATTATTGTCTTTTATCATTTTAATAGGAAGCTAGTGAAAACTGTCATTCCCTAAGTGACAAGCTTGGCTCCTGGAATACTATGCATACAGGTACATTGTGCTTTATTACATTTTGTTTTACTGTCCTTCACAGATGTTGCTTTTTTTTTTTTTTTTTACAAATTGAAAGTAAGACTCTCCACCAGCAAAAAGATCGTAATTTACTTCCTTGTGGTGCCTGGAACTGAACCCGCCCAACTCTGAGGTCTGTTGATACTAATAAGAGTCAAGACTTAAGGAGCTTCCAGAATTAAGCAAAACTCCAAATTACCTTTTCAGGGCTGACAGTGGAGACAGAGGCCCTTCGCATGTCTCTGACCCCCGTCCTCTGCCCATGATTCTGCTCTGCCTAGTTATGTAACATCAAGTTCACATCACAACTGGAACAGGGAAGGTTTCATGTCAGCTACTCAAGGAAATCCCTTCTCTAGAAGCTCTCAGTGGCCACTGTTTGGCCAGTCAAACTTCTTATGATCCACCTATCACCACTTTCTCAAGACAGGCAGGTGGGTCACAGCTTGACACCAAATCCACAGAACTAAGGTCAGAAGCAGAGCTTTGACCAAGAGTTGCCATAGAATCAAATATGAATTATATTGAAATGAATAAGACACTGAGATTCGGCAGCCTGATCTTATGATCTAGAAATGCAACTATGTGTCATGCCTCTGTGTAGCCCCAAACTAACTGGAACAGTAAGGGTCCTTTTCCTGTTACTAAGCTGCTTTAGCCCTCACTTTCTTCTCACACCATGTCTTCGTTCAGTGTGGAATTGTTGTCCAAATCAATATGCCTCAGCTCTGAGCAACCAGATTCTTATTTCCTCCCAGTGTGCTATCCATAAATGGCTGACCAGGCACAGAAGCCACCACTCTGCCCTTCCCATGCTTGACTGGTCCTCTCTGTTAATCTCAGTTCTTGTATCAGAATCCTTACATCCTTCAGGCAACCAGCATCAGTCCATCAGAGTGGTCATATGCACATAAGCATCCAACACTACCTACTTTTCAAACTTCCAGATGGAAACTCTGAATGGATGATGAGGCCATTCTTAAAAAATCTTACCTGAAGCCTGACCAACATGCTTCATGATCCCCAAACCATCAGCCAACTAAAATAAACTGTTGTCAAATAAATGAGGAGATGGCACCACCACCCTCTGTGTCCGTACCAATCAACCCTGTCATGAGGCTCAGTCATGACCTCCCCAAAGGAGGCTGCTGCTTAGGAAAATCCCTGGTAGATGATTCCAAAGAGAAAATTGTAATTTCACATATCTGTACAGACCCCAGCATTCAGACAGCTTTGTAAATTTCTGCTTAAAAGCAACACTGAAAATAACATTTTTAAGTATAGTTTATTGATTATACTATTATGGTTGTCCCATTTTCCCCCCTTCATTCCCCTCTACCCTGTACACCCTCTCCCACCCACATTCTCCCCCTTTAGTTCATGTCCATGTGTCATAAGTTCTTTAGCTTCTACATTTCCCACACCATTCTTGCCATCCCCCTGTCTATTTTCTGCCTACCATCTATGCTACTTATTCTCTGTACCTTTACCCCCTCTCGCCTCCTCCCACTCCCCTGTTGCTAACCCTCCATGTGATTTCCATTTCTGTGGTTCTGTTCCTGTTCTAGTTTAGTTTGTTCTTTTTGTTTTAGGTGTGGTTGTTAATAATTGTGAGTTTGCTGTCATTTTACTATACATGTTTTTTTATTTTCTTTTTCTTAGATAAGTCCCTTTAACATTTCATAAAATAAGGGGTTGGTGATGATGAACTCATTTAACTTGACCTTATCTGAGAAGCACTTTATCTGCCCTTCCATTCTAAATGAAAGCTTTGCTGGATAGAGCAACCTTGGGTGTAGGTCCTCGCCTTTCATGACTTGAAATACTTCTTTCCAGCCCCTTCTTCCCTGTAAGGTCTCTTTTGAGAAATCAGCTGACAGTCTGATGGGTACTCCTTTGTAGGTAACTGTTTCCTTATGTCTTGCTGCTTCTAGGATTCTCTCCATTTTAATCTTGGTTATGTAATGATGATGTGCCTTCGTGTGTTCCTCCTTGGGTCCAACTTCTTGGGATTCTCTGAGCTTCCTGGACTTCCTGGAAGTCTATTTCCTTTGCCAGATTGGGGAAGTTCTTCTTTATTATTTGTTCAAATAACTTTTTCACTTGTTGGTCTTCCTATTCCCCTTGTGGTACCCCTATAATTCAGATGTTGGAATGTGTAAAGATGTCCTGGAGGTTCCTAAGCCTTTCCTCATTATTTTGAATTCTTATTTCTTCATTCTTTTCTGTTTGGTTGTTTCTTTCTTCCTTCTGGTCCACTCCATTGATTTGAGTCCCAGTTTCCTTCCCATCACTATTGGTTCCCTGTGCATTTTCCTTCATTTCACTTAGCGTAGCCTTCATTTTTCATCTAATTTACAACCAAATTCAACCAATTCTGTGAGCATCCTGATCACCAGTGCTTTGAACTGTGCATCTGATTGGTTGGCTATCTCTTCATCGCTTAGTTGTATTATTTCTGGGGCTTTGATCTGTTCTTTTGTTTGGGCCATATTTTTTTTTTGTCTTGATGCGCCTGTTACCTAGTGAGGGGCAGAGCCTTAAGTGTCCACCAGGGTGGGGCGACCCAGTTGCTGGGTTGTGACACAGTATGTGGGAGAGGGGTCCGAGAGGGAACAATGGCACTTGCTCCACTCTCTGCCGGATTTCAGTCACTTTCCCTGCTTCCCCCAAGCAAACTGGGCCCCTCTGGTGCTGATTCTCATGTGGGTGGGTTTGTGTACATCCTGGGACCCTGTGTGTCTCTCCAACGAATTCTCCTGTGAGGCTGGAAGTCTCTCCTAGAACCTCAACCCCCACAGGTGTTTTCAATAGCTATTTTGAGGCTTTATTTCCCTGAACTGGAACCCTGGGTTGTGTGGTCTGTCTCACTCCCCAGTTTCACCTGGTTTATCTGCACACAAACGTGGGGCCACCTTGTGCATGGCATCCCTCCACAATCCACCACCTTCACTCACCAACTCGAGTGAAGCAGGCCCTCTCTGTTCGGCCACCCGACTCCACCCCTCCTACTGGTGTGGATGAGTGTTTCTTCTTTAACTCCTTGGTTGTTGGACTTCCATACAGTTCAATTTTCTGTCAGTACTGGTTGTTTTTTTGTTTCTAAATTTTTGTTGTCCTTATTTTGGTTGTGTGAGGAGGCACAATGTGTCTACCTATGCCTCCATCTTGGCCGGAAGTCCTGAAATAACATTTTGAAGACAGCTTCTGGGGATATGATGCTAAAGGTTTGAGGCACTTTACTGATAATACAGAGCAGTGCCTTCAAGTAGGGGTCATGCACTACAGGGTGCTGGCCGTCATTTGTGGCTAGTAATAGTGAACAGTACCCCAGACCACAAATGCTTTCTCCTGATAATGTTACCCTCACTCACCGAGTTCCTGCATCACATAACTGGAAGCCTGTCTTAATGCTGCAGCCCAGAAGGTAGCAAGAGCTACACATATGGGCAGCATCTCACATCAAGATTAACAAGGCTGGGAATCACCTTGCTAGAAGACTGTATCACCTTGATTGTGTGATATTATCTCACATAACCAAAATCAAATGTAATGTTTGGTCCAATACATTAAAACAAAGAGACCCCCAGCCAGGGCATAAGCAGAAGAAAGAAAAGGGTTTGTCCTACATCAGGCCAGAAGAGGACAAACCAGTGGAGAGAGTGAGATAGGTGAACATTCTTTCTCATTCTTACCCTGACAATCCCTGCATCCGCCAGACCTCATGCAGGACAGAGAGGACATTCCCACTAGCGGTGCTGGAACCAGCCTGCATGAAAGGACAAAAGAGAAAACCGTTATCTTATGAAAGTCTCCAACTTACAGATGATATCCTTGGGTACACAGCTCCCTAATGCCTTCATCTAAGATAGTTTCAAATAGACTGGGGAGTTTCTGAGGAATCAGGAGCCCTGGATCTCACTGCACCAGAGGGCTTTATCTTCAAACCCACAAGCAAGCGCTGATTTGGCTTAAAGCCACAGAAAGCCACTTTTCCTGGTCTTATTATCAAAAGATGAGTAGAGCTCACCCAGATTATTCACATACAACTACTGTGTTAACAGGAAAATCACACCCAAGTAATTCACAAACAGCCACTGAACAAGATAATTGCAACAATATAATTCCTGTACAACTACCGAAACAGGAAAATAACACCCAGATAATTCACATAAAACCATGAAACAAGAAAACTACACCCAGATAATTCACATACAATTAATGACCAAGATAGCCATAGCCAGATATTTCACTTACACTACTGAGTAGGGAAATCATACCCTGGTAATTCACATACAACCACTGAACAGGAAAACCACAACCAGGTAATTCACGTATAACTACTAACTATGAAATCCATACTCAGATAATTCACACACACTACTAAATAGGAAAATCACACCCAGATACTGACATACAACTACTGACAGGAAATGCACATCTAGATAGTTCATATACAACTACGGGGTAGAGGGAGGGGTGGAGAGCCATGGAAAGCAGTATCAACTGAGCTGAGAAAAATGGGGGATAGTCAGTACAGATGGTACAATTATGAAACTCACCTAAGTAGCTAATAAACACATTTATTGAAGGGTACTATTAATATATTCAATTTAAACATGGTTGACCTCTTAGGAAAAGTCATATACTTTTCCACAAGCATATGACTTTATTTTGTATTGTTTTAGTCTCCAGCTACGTTGTATGTATGGCATCCATGAAGTCTGTAGTTTTTTTTTAACAATATTTCTTTTTAAGGAAAAAATTGTAAGAATTCTGACAACTCTCCTAATTTATCCAGTTAAGACCAAGCATGACCTAAGTTCAAGAGCCTGTTAATTCACCTGTTGTGTGGCATGAAGCAAGCTGACTCTGAGCCTCAGGTCTGTCAATGGTAAAAACAGAGTTAATTCGAATATAGTTGTACCACACAGAGACCCTACCAGCCCTACTCACTTACATAGCGTAGTTGAAAATGATTACACAAACATTGCACACAGTGACAGCAATACAGATTGTTTCATCAACATCAGTTTCACTGGTGGTTTGACAGCGGTATAAGGCTTCTCCTACAGGGAAGTGTTTTCCACTTTTCTTCACTTTATGTACACATAAGCCCCAGTGCTAGTATATAGGAGCATCTGTTATGTCCACATTATGTTATTTTACCACTTACCTTCGCCAACATGATTCTTGTTTTCGCCACATCCAGAGGTGTGGTGACCATAGCTGCGAATCCACCTGTGTATATAAACCCCAATACAGTGTTGTTTATGGTGTTACACAGTGTTTTATAATGTTTATTTTATAATTCCACATAAGTCTGCAAAAATCAGTTCTTTATCATTATATTCCCTTGATCGGTTCAAGAACTATATGCACACATACAAAACCTTTACCTGCATGCCACAGCTTTTGCAATGACACCGCACCACATATGACAAGATGACAAGGTAATAATGCTTTACCTCCTCAGGCTAACCGGGCCCCATCCCCACCTCTTGCTCTCTGTGGCACAGTGAACTGAGCTGAATGTGTACTGGGCTACGTGTCTATAGCAGTCACCTACTCAGAGAGGCAGGGGGCTCCCATTGATTCTCAGAGGGCCACGCCTTCCATCGGCCACTGGTCTCTCATCTGACTCCAAAATGCTTCTATCATTTCTGCTCTGAGGCAGAGTGGGCCAAGAGAAATGTATATCACAGTGGGGTTTTGGGTACAAATGCCTGGATTCTTCAAGTTAAAAACACTGAAAGAGAAAAGCTGTCTGTATTTCCAGGCTTCTGATAACAAGCCAGTTGAAGAAACAACATTTCTAAGCTTCCTTCTGCATCTCGTTAGTCTGTGTTGTCTAAGGAGCATGCTCCTCATGGTTTCCCTCCTACCTTCTCTCCCATGGAAATGCTGTGACTGCACAACAGATACTTAAAAAATGCACATATTTTAAAGGGAGCTATATCTACAGACAGAGAAATCCAAACATTTTTTCTAACAGAAACCATATTATATGGTGCAAATATTCTATGTAATATGATACAAAGATATCATTTCAACCTCAAGAGGCCCTAAGGAGGTAAAATAATAAACTCAAAGGACTTTCTAAAAGGATTCAGCGTCCGTGAGCTCAGATGAAGTGGACAGTTTTGTAAAAGGGCTGAACAGAACACATGTGGGAAGGATACTCCAAAAATAGCAACACTCTCCCTCCAAGTTGTGTGGCGTGTGGACAAGAAGGTCATTTGAACTTCGCCAAATCTCTTTCTAAATGTGTTGCTGAAGAACGAGCATTACACTGAAGCTCCTCCAATCGCTAACCTCATGACAATGACTTTTAGAAAGATGCACCCATTTATGCTTCTGTGTTCCATTTTTGGTTACCCACAGATGACACACTTAGGGTTAATAAGGATCAATAACATGAATGCAAGTGCCCTTTCTAAGCCACTTTTTGTGTTATGAACATGTGGAATATTTTCCCTCCAAATTCAGAAGTTGCTTGATATTCAGAGACTTGGCTAAACCTCAAGTATGTTAAAATTTGGTGGACTCAGTCCTGAAATCCAACCATTTCAATGTTTTTAAACCACACATTCTGTACTAAGAGTAAATGTAACTACAGAAAAGGGTCCAGGAAGGCTTCACATCCATTAAAAAAATCCTTAAGAAGGAATAAAAAGGACAAAGGAAGAAAAAGGCAATGAACCTGTAGCACTCCAATCTCATACTCGGTTTTGTTGACCTTACTAGCTACAGGGTCTGGCCTGAAGCAACCCTCCCTCAGAGTTGGGAAGACCCAGGCCTCACTCCTGCTCTCCTCGCTGACTGGCCTCAGTAAAAAACCCTATGAGACAGGCATTCCGGTTATGCCAGGCTATGGGGGGGGCGGGGGGGGGCGGAATCTGGAGCTCACAGACATTAAATCACAGCAGGTTTTCCTAATAAAGAGCTGAGACAAACTGTTCTCACTTCCAGACTCAGAGGCTTTTGGCCTCTGGGTCTTCCAGTGGGCTCAGTTTTTCATCTATAAAATGCCAACAGCAATATGACACAGAAATGAAATGAGTCTCTGCAAAGGGTCTAGAGTAGTCCCTGGCTCATATTTGTGCTCCAGGTAATTAGCTCTTTTCTGGGTGGGCAGAGATGTGTGTTTTCTTCATGTCTCTAGCCATTTTCTTCATGTCTGTAGCCCAGCACGCACAGTAGGGGCTCAAACATGCTTACGGGGTACCCTGGACAAGTGCTGCAGTTTTTACAAACTGAAGATTTCAATTTGTTCTCAAAAGGGAAGGAGGAGGGGGAAGCCCCAAGCTAATCCTGTGCTTATTTTATATCTGGTGCACTGGGACTGTACTAGGTATTTTCACGGATTATTTTATCTCATTGCACTTGACAGACAACTTGCCCAGGGACACACAGATAATAAGGAGTGGGGACTCAAAGTCACATGTATCTTAGCTCCTTCACTATATTGACTTTGATATATAAAAAGACATTAAAATTTATCCGTTCATTAAAACTCAGAAGTGCATACTGAGTTTTATGCACTCTGAGTGCATTTTTCTTGTTTGAAAATGTTCACAAACTGTCCTAAACCAACTATGACAACTTGAAAATTAGCAAGAACATCTGTCCCGTTGGTCTACTCAAGCTTTTATGAGCCACCTATGTTGAAAAGTATGTGCCTTCTAATAAAACCGGGTGCTGCAAATCAAACTAATTTTAGCCATTAGCGGAAGTTCCCCATTCCTTTACTGTGGACACCTGCCAGTATTCTCTTAGAGATTTCGGTTCATCAAAATGATATGAGGAAGCATGAAAGACAAGGATGCATATGCTTAAATAGGTCCTAATTTTACTACCATAAGGAATACTGTATTTTATGAAAGTTACTAAGTCAATTTGAGTATCTTCAAATATCAAAGATTGCTCTAATTCACAGACCCCACAATGTTTTTTACGAGGCTGCAGGAAGGGCTTGTGAAGGTCATGTAACAGAGTAACTGGTCATAATAGGGAGGGGGCAGAGGACTGGTACTTTCAGTTAAAATGTCATTATTTTCTACATTTTACTCAAGGGAATTGTAAACTGCCAGTAATAAATACAGGGAACCTGCTAACATATTGGACAGGAAACAATTCTTTGGTACAGCCACTGTAGGCTGCTTTTGTGTTCAAATCACACAAGAAACAATTTACTATGGGCCCTACCACAGTAGGTTTTTACTTGACTGAATGTTAGGAGAACTGCTTTCAGGACCAGATTTAGGGGAAACTAGATGTTACTCAGGTCCTTAGGAAACAAATGCTGGTTATTTACGTTCTCCAGACAAAGGGGCCACCTTCCTTCAACAGGTTCTGCAGCTGTCACCTCCTAGTAGCAGCTGTGAGCATGGTGGGGGCTACAGCGGGCAGCACTGTCCCTCATAGGCCCTCCAGGGCCTCTCAGATTAGCCTGGCAGCCAGAACAGGGTCTTCAGGTACATTTTCCACATAATCTCCAAACAGTGTCCGGACAGGTAGGGCTTCAACAACAATAAACGTATTTTTTCTGTTAAAGATTGTGTTACGCCTTCTCATTTGTACCCAGGTAACCCTTCACCCTATTCTAGAATTTCAAGTCAGGGGAAGATCTGTCTGTCTGTCTATCTATCTATATATACATCTCTATCATTCTGCTCTTGGAGAATGTAAATAGGTGTTAGTTACAAGAAACTGATCAAAAAACACTATGGAATGGCAAATATCACTTTAGTAGCAGATGTCATTAATTACTCAGACAGAATTACAATTTTATGTTTAGAAGTCAATTTGAAGTGAGACAGTTGGCAAAGTCCCTTCTCTTCCTAGTTTAACCCCTCACCAGCAGCCCAGGAAATTGCTGAGCATGACAAGCCTTCAACACCTCCATTCTCAAGGGCCATTTTTGCATATGTGTGTCAAGTACTTTATAAAACAAGCATGGGAACAGAAGATGGCACAGACTGTGTTCAAGCACACAGGAATGAGAACTCTGATTTCTGACATGAGGGCAAGTTTTATCACTACCTCTACAGCCACATAAGCCTGAGTCTGACAGTGTGCGTGAGCATGTGGGACCGCAGAGGGCTGCTCCCTGCGGTGAGTCCTCGTTCACTTCTCTATAGTGTGTGATGGACAATGTTGCAACAGACTCTTGCAGAGTATCACTTTTTCACAATCTGGAGTATTTTCCAGTGATTATTTATCTTTCAGAAACATTTAAAAGTAGTAATGTAATTCCTCAGGATCAACACTATCATAAATTAAAATTTCAAGACAAAAGGGATATAAACAAGAAATGTATTTAATCTTTTACTAAATATCTGGGGATTTTTGCAGATCTTGGACAAACTTCTTCACATATCAGAACCTCAGGTGAAAAAATAAGGTGACTGTATGGGAGGAGAAGTTTTTGTACAGTAACTTTATTAATATTATTCTATCAATGTAATTGAAATTATTGTGATGATAACAGCTTTTCATTTTCCAGGTGTTGGTTGTTTTTATCAAAATAGTAATAATTCCTTACATAAGTTTTATCAGTTACAAAGTATTAATATATATCCTAAAGCACTATAATGCCTTTAGGTAGGGAGGGCTGCTGCTATGTTACAGGTAAGGAAGCTGGTGCCCAGGAAGGCCCCAAAACCTCATTCCTTAGCAGAACTGAGACTTGACAGCTTTTTTGAAATCCAACCAATTGGCCAGGACTAGATGTGTGGCTCTGGGCAAAGCCCTTCCCTGCTCACGTCCCAGCTTCTCTGCTGTCACTGGACACAGTGAGCCACCTTAATGGGAGAGCCTGGCCCACAGGATCCCATGATCAATGGGCAGCCATCTGATAAAAAGTTTCTTCCCCTATTCTGACTAATACAAGTGCTTAGTGCCTATTACAAAGCATTACTCAGAAAAAGGGACTGTAATGGATGCAAATTTCCTTAACAGATCCAATGCATTGGCTTTGAATGTATCTGCTACTTAAAGAATGGGCCCAGAGAATATATACTTCTCATTTCAACACATGAGAGTTTCATGGTATTATTAACTTTATGTTTTCCCTTTTTTATTGAATTGATTGGGGTGACACTGGCTAACGAAAACATGCAGGTTGCAGGATCACAATTCTACAACACATCATCTGTGCACTGTGTTGCGTGGCACTGTGAGCCTAAGAAAGTGGCCTTGCCTTGTCCAGGAGACCAGATTTCCCCAATGCTCACTTCATCCCCAGGGCCCAGGAGGGAGTCACAAAAGTACACATTTTCACATTTAAGGACTGGGCAATAAAGATACCTGACTTCTGGAAAATGAATCAAGACCACCTACTTATTTAACACAGTTAATGGTGGTGTCATGTGGAAACAATTGCCCATCACAATCAGTCTGAGCTGGCTTCATGTCTAGAGGCAACATTCTTATTTTTGATTATCAATTCTACAAGTCAAATGGGTCCAATTATTAATGCAGAATCCTATAACATGTATGTTTTCTATTTTCCTAATCACTACAACACCCAATCCAGCAACCACTGAAGAAATTGAAACAATGTGTTTCTAATCAAGTCGACATCTAACCCTACATATCTGTCAACTTACTGGCTTCACATCTAAACCAGCAATTGACAACTTTCTGGCAAATCTCTACTTCAATTTCTTTCAACTGTAATTCTAATTACCTTTGTTTGCAACAACAAACTCTATTTCTCTCTCAGAATGTTAAACCTATGATTTATTAAGTTCCATAAAGCATCTGAGTTCTCATTAGAACCTCACTGGAAATTTCATATGACTCAGTGAGGGATAACACAATACCACATATTGTCACTTTGCTCTTGGTTTAATGTCTACAAAATGCCCAGATGTTTAGATCTCCATATTTTCTACACGGAGCAGTTTAGCCTTCAGTAAACTGTGGGGCAGCCTCCGTTCTCCTGACAGTAGTTAATCCACAGTGCTGTCAAACGTGTCACAGGAACCGTGAATCACAGCCTGCTACAGAAATCACTTAAACCCCCAAAGCAGTGCTCAGGGCAGACAGCTGCAGAGTCAGCCCTGCACCCACAACAAGTCCCTGCCTACACAGGGCTTTATAAATCATCTTTAAAATAATCCAAAGGGTCTGAGTGAAGGCTTTAATAAAGATAAAGAGAAAAATTTGTTGAAAACAAACTGGTTGTTTTTCAAGTGGACACCTTTCTAGGTTTTTCCTTTTCCTAAGACACTTTCTTTTCTCAAACAACTAGTGGAACTCTCTTCATCTAAACAATCTGGAATTTCTGAAGAATGTTGTTTTTGCATCGTGAGTATTTTCACATTCCCCCCCCCCACCCCACTTTGGTCTTTCCCAGTATAATATAATCCTCTGCACCTGCAAAAGCTCCACAGACTGCTGACTGCCAAGAATCCACCATGCGATCCTGCCTCCAGGACCAGAGGGCCTGTGTTTAAGGAGAAAGAAAAAAATACAAGTTATTAAATATTTGAATTTATCGGAAACTCCTATGGGTGAGCTCTAGGGATGGGAACTTAAGTGAGAAGCTATTTTGGTGGCATTCCTCAGTGATGACCTAAGTGATTTTCCCAAGGACTTAACTGCATTCTAAAATAAGTGAAAGAAACCAGGGTGAGGGCTGCATCGGAGTGCTCAGAGGACACAATTTCTAGTCAGTGTGTGTGATACACAGACACACACACTGTGCATGTGTGTAAATAAAACAAAGATGCATCTTTAAGACAATATGGCATTGCAAAAATTTCCCATATAAATCTGAACTTTCTATAATTCACAAGTTAGTTCAGAACAGTGTATGTCACAATTCTTCAGTTCTTTTTTCAATCTTTTATCCATGTTGCATGTGTGAAGGATGTTGATTCTGCTACTTAAGTATCAATCTGAAATTTGTCAAAAACTTTTTTGCACTGTTCATGATGTTGAGGATTATACAATTAAATACCCATGGCGAGTTTCACACTAGACAAAATGATGACTGAGACATGGTGCCCTGCTCACCAAGCATTTACGGTACAGTAGAAGACAAGATACATTCACAACAAGTGGTGAACAGTGCTGAGTCAGGCCTGGTCTAATCTCTGAACATAGATGAAAACTCATGGTCCTCATAACCACCCTAAGAGTTGGGTCCTGTTATTATCTACCTTTTACCTGGGCTTTCTAATAACAGCAGAGCCTGCTTGTTCACTCTTTTTAGTTTTACTGAGGTGTATGTAAGTGATGTGCAATGAGGTACATTTATTTGAAGTATGCCACTTGTTAAGTTTTGACATGAAATCACTGCCACAATTAAGATAGGAACATACTCACCACCCCAGAGTTTGCTGTGTCCCTGCCATTCCTCTCTCTTTCCTGTCCTTCCTTGACAGCCCTCAAACAATCTTTGTCACTCTGGGTTAGTTTGCCTTATCTAGAATTTTATATAAACAAATTATACATTCATTTTCTAAAACCTGGATTCTTTCCTTCAGAAATTTTGTCTGAAGGACATGTTATTGTGGATATCAACAGTTCATTGCCCTTTAATTGGTAAACAGTATTCCATAGTGTAAATATATAATTTATGTACTCAACTGTTGATGGACATTTGGGATTCTTCCAGTTTCTGACTATTACAAATAAAGCTGCTATGAACATTTATATTCCTGCCTTCATATGCTGGGGTCCCCAACCTCGGGGCCACAGACTGGTACCATGGCCTGTTGGCAGCCTGGCTGCACAGCAGGAGCTGAGCTTGAATGTACTGAGCTTGAATCTTCCCGAAATCATCACCCCCTCCCCAGTCTGTGGAAAAATTGTCTTCCATGAAACTGGGCCCTGGGGCCAGAAAGGCTGGGGACCGCTGAAGCATATGGATGTGTGCCTTCATTTCTCTTGTGGAAATACCTAAGTGTGAAATAGCTATATTGCATGGTAGGAATATGTTTAACTTTTTTAAAAACCTCCAAACTATTTTCTAAAGTGGTTGTACCATTTTACATTCTAACCAGTTCCAGTTTCTCTACATCCTTCCAAACACTTGGCATTGTATTTTTAAAAATTTTATTATTCTATAGGAGTATATACGTAGCATTTCACTGTGCCATTTAATTTGTATTTCCCTAATGACTAATAATATTGAGCTTTTTTATGTACTTTTTCCATCCATATATTTCCTCTTTTTAAAAAATTCTCACCTGAGGATATGTTTATTGATTTTAGAGAGAGAGAAAATGAGAGCAAGAGAGAGAAACATTGGTGTGAGAAACACCAATCAATTGCCTCCCGTACCTGCCCTGACCAGGGATCAAACCAGTAACCTTATAGCCAAAGACAATGAAATAGAGAACAGGCTGACAGTGACCAGAGGGGAGAGGGGAGGGAATTTCAGGGGAATTTCAGGCGAGAATGGGAAGGGTTTACAGGAACAAATATAAAGGACACATGGACAAAACTAGGGGGGGGCATGGAAATGGGAGGGAGGTGGGGAGAAATGGGTGGGTGGGCTGGGATAGGAGTAAAGGACATGAAACTGTACTTGAACAACTATTAAAATAAAATTAAAAAAACAAAAAAACAAAAAAACAAAATCCAGCAACCTTTCGGTGTATGGGATGGGAGCCACCCAGCCAGGGCATCCATGTATTTTCTTAAGTGTCTGTTCAAATGTTTTGCATTTTTATTTGGTTGTCTGTTTCCTTAAGTATTGAGGTTTGAGAGCTCTTTATGTATTCTAGATAAAAGTCATTGGAAAATATTCCTAATCTGTGGCTTCCTTTTCATTCCGTTAACAGTGTCTATCAAAGGACAAAAGTATTTAATTTTGATGAAGTCTAAATTATCCTGTTACAGATCTTACTTTTCATGACATATCCAAGAAACCTTTACCTAACTCAGGCCACAAAGATTTTTCTATTTTCTTCCAGAAATGTTATGTCTTTAGGTTGACATTTAGACCTATCTTCCATTTTGTGTTCATTTTTCTGTATGCCACAAGTTATGGATTAAAGTTCTTTTGTTTTTTCATATGGGTATTAATTGTTACAGCAATTGAAAAAGACTATCCTTTCTCCAATGAACTGCCTTCTCAATTTTGTCAAAAATCAATTGCCCATGTATGTGTGGGTCTCTGTGGACTCTCTGCTCTACTCCACATATCCATCTTGATAGAAATTCAGTACTAATTCTTGACTACTATAGCTCTATAATATCTTGAGATCAAGTAGTGTCAGTTCTCCAGCTCTGTTCTTTTTTTCAAAGTTGCTTTTACTACTCTAGGTTCTTTGCACTTTCAAATGGATTTTAGAATCAGTTTATCAACTTCCACAAAACAGCCTGCCAAGATTTTTATCTGAATTGCACTGAATCTATAAATCATTCTGGAGAAAACAGAGGTGCTAACATTGAATTTTCTGAACCATAAACACGGCACTTTTCTCCAGTCACTTATGCCTCCATTATTTTCTCTCAACGGTGTTCTGTGGTTTTCAGTACAGGTCTTGTGCTTCATTGTCAGATTTATCTGTTTCATGTTTTGATGTTACTGTGAGTAGTAGTGCTTGTTTTTTAATTTCACTTTCTGTTTGTTGCTAATATCTACAAGTACAATTAATTTTCATACACTGATCTTGTATCCTGCAACCCTGCTCAACTTAACAGCTTTAATAGCTTCTTTGTAGATTCCATCAAATTTTCTATATCAATGATCAAACTGTCTATGAATAAACACAGTTTTTTTCTTTCCAACTAGCTTATTGCCTTTTATTTCTTTTCTTTATTCATACTGTCTCTGAATAAAGAGTTTCTTCCTTTCCAATCAGATTATTGCCTTTTATTTCTTTTTTCTTGCCTTACTGCACTGGAAAGGACCTCTAGCATAATGGTATGTGCTACAGTATTGATGAAAAAATTACAAAAACCTCAAATATATTAATTACAGTGGTTAGAACAGTGTAATGACCTATTTATGATGGAATGACAGTTTTAGGGATGATCAAATATACCACAACTGAAAGAACAGCAAAGTTGATACTAATTTCCCACTTTCAATACTTCCCCACTGAAAATATACCTGTGAGGTTGAGAAGGTTGCCATGAAAAAGGACACAGGGCCCTATTTATCGTCAATTTTAACAACTTTTTGTGTGTGTTATTTACTGGTTTTATTTTATTTCCTTTTTACTCTTTGATCCCCTTCACCACTCACTCCATTCCCCATCCCCTGCCTTGGGCAACCACCAATCTCTTATCTGTATCTATGAGTTTGATATATTTTTAACAAGATTACACATAGAAGAGAGATCATACAGTATCTGTCTTTCTCTGTCATATTTCACTTAGCATAATGCCCCCAAGGTCCATGTATTTTGTTGCAAATGGCAAAATTTCATTCTATTTAATGGCTGAAAAATCTTCCATTGTGTGCATATACAATTTCTTTTTCCATTCACCCATATCTTAGATATTGTAAATAATGCTGCAATGAATTCCTGGCTAGCATAGCTCAGTGGATTGAGCGCGGGCTGCAAACCAAAGCATCGCAGGTTCGATTCCCAGTCAGGGCACATGCCTGGGTTGCAAGCCACGGCCCCCAGCAACCGCACATTGATGTTTCTCTCTCTCTTTCTCCCTCCCTTCCCTCTCTAAAAAAAATAAATAAAATCTTTTTAAAAATTTTAAAATAAAAAAAGTAATGCTGCAATGAACATAGAGGTACAGATATCCTTTTAGCTTTTTTTCTTTGTTTCCTTTGCATAAATACACAGAAGTAGAATTGCTGGATCACATAGTAGTTCTATTTTGAATATTTGAAGAACCTCCAGACCATTTTCCACAGTGGCTACACCAATTTATATTATCAACAAGAATGCACATGGGTTCCCTTTTCTCCGTGCACTTGCTAACACTTATTATTTCTTGTCTTTTTGATAACAGCCCTTCTAACAGGTATGAAATGATATCTCATTGTGGTTTTGATTTGCATTTTTTTTATTATTAATGATGTTGAGAATCTTTTCTTGTACCTGTTGGCCATCTGTGTATCTTTAGAAAAATATCTATACAAATCTTTGCCCATTTTTTAATTGGATTGTTTGTGGGGGGAGATTTGCTACTGAGTTGTGTGTTATGTATTTTGAATATGAGCCCCTTATCAGATATATGATTTGCAAATACTTTTTACCCATTCAGTAGGCTATCTTCTCATTTTGTTGCTCTCCTTCGCTGTGTAGAAGCTTTTGCTTTTGTTTTTGGTGTCAGAGTCAAAAAATCATCACCAAGACCAATGCCAAGGAGATTACCACCTACATTTTCTTCAAGGAGTTGTAGGGGTTTAGATCTTACTTCAGATCATTTAATCCATTTTAAATTAATTTTTGTGTACAGTATATGATAGTGGCCAAGTTTAATTCTTTTGCATGTGGCTGTCTAGCTTTCCCAACACTGTTT